GGTGCTTAGAAGGAAGGAACTTGCTCTCCGTTTTGGGAGGTGAATGAAGCTCCCAGCTTCCTGGTGGCTCTGCCCCATGGGAGGCCTTGGTCATCTTGAGCCTAGGCTGTGTGTTTAATGCCTGGGCTACTTTGAGCCAGTGTCCTCCTCTCTGTCCAGGGCAGAGAGGACACCACTGTTCTGCAGGTGTTTCTGATGGCTGCTTCCTCTTCACTGCCAGGCTAGGTCTACACTTCATCCGGTAGCCACATTGACTTTCTTTTTACCTTTTGAAAGCAGGATCATTGTTTTAAGGAAGGAAAAAGTCAAGATGCACGTGCTTCCCAACACACATAATATGCATTTGCCACCTCCAGCACAGAGCTTGTGATCCACCTGAAAATGAGGGCTTGTCCTGTGGAATGCCAGCAACGTGCTGTGGTCCACGCTGAAAGGAATGTCTCTTTGGAACTTATATGGGGCCAACAGTCATCTGAAAAATATGATGGATCAAAGCCAAATGCTGTGTTCTATCATAGAGGGGTAAAGAGGATTTCTAAAAGAGGTTGTGAGTGGCCTTTAAATTCCCAGTATGGGGTTGATGTCCCTTTCTTGTGATCCCCAGACAGTTTGCTCTTGAAGAGGAATGAGGGCCTGGGATATGTCATTGATGGTCCTGAAAGGGATCTGCGTTTGAGTAGGTCAGAGAAGATGTTCTGGAAGTCTGGAGGCTGGGACACACGGCCTTCTCTACAGGCTCGAGAGGGCTCTAAGGAGCAGTTCGAGACGTGTAATGAGGATCCAGGCCCCGGACCTGTTCTGTGGGGAAAAAAAGTGAGGAAAGTAAGTTTCTGGATAAATCATGGTGATCCTTGAATTTGAAGTTGTCCTCAAAGTTTATCCTCCTCATCAGAGCATATGGTCATAGCTTCTGTTTTTTCTGTATTTTCCTTTTCTTCCCCTGCCTTTTTTCCCTCCCAGCTCACCACCCACCCCCTCTGCAGCCTCCCCCCCGCCCCCCAGCAAACACATTCTTTTCCCCAGCCAACTGCTTGTTGAAGGCTGTGTGGGGGAACTAGTTCCCCACAAGACAGGGGAACATGTGAAAACAGGCCCTTGATGAAGCTGGACTCAGGGCCACCCACTGCCAACATTTTCTAGGTGAACAAGAATGAATTACAAACGCAGGCTGGACCTCGGTGCTCGGAGCCAAGCCAGCAAGAATTGCCTGTGTTGAGGACAGCGAGGGGGACACACAAACACACACACACACACACACACACACACACACACACACACACACAGAGAGAGAGAAACCTGCCTTCCAGGGAAGACTGTGAATCTCAATGGTGTTTCCCTACACATGGTTTCAGCATTTAGAACATCCTGCAAATGAGGCTTTTCCTGTTCTGCACGAGTGGGCTCTCCCCTTCTGCATCTGACCTCCCTGCCACCACCCACTGACTGGGCAGAATGATTTGATGGGGCATTCATCAGGAGGTTTGGGTGTCCCCGATGAGCAAATCCACTTGCTGGTATGAGTCCCATACATAAAAGGGAAAGTATCACATTTTCCTCTGAATTCTTGAGGAAATTGCTCTCATATACAACACCAACCTTTGGCTGCGCGACAGAGACGGAGTGTCGTTTGCATGCCATTGCCAGGCTGTAAAGTCTGGTCAGGGCTGCCTTTTCGGAGTTTCCAATCTTTTGGGATCCTGGGAGGGTCACCCTGCGGGTCAGGTTTGTTTAGTCTGGTCCGTAATGGTGTAAAGTGGCCTTGACTGTTGAGCCTGCCTAAATAATGCCCTATCTGTTTGATACTTCAACAGTCCCTCCGAGTTGTATATATGTTTCACTTTCTAATATTCGAGGCTGAATTGGATTTCATTGTTCATAGAAGGGAAATTGTTTCTAAAAACAACCTCATCTTGCTTTGAAAGTTAGCCAGAGTTCAGAGGGCCCCTGCATTTTAAGGGGTGATCTACGTTTTCTCTGGGAAAATCATAGCACACTTCTGTGTTTTTGTATGTGTGTTACTCACTCTTTGCAGCTTTTTAAAGGGATTCATCTGAACATATGTCACTTTAAAAAGCTGTGTATTAAAGTATAATGTGCATAGATAAGACAGCACATATAATAAGCATACAGTGAGTTTTAACAAACCCAATACACTGTAGCAACTGGCCCCAGATTAAGAAACAGAACATTGTCAGCACCCCAAAAGCCCCCTCATGCCTCTCCATGGGAACATATACTATTCTAAATTTCTCTTATTTATAATTTATTCAAGGTTTTCTATATTGCACCTTATTCTGTTTTCCTCAATGGTGTAACATTCCCTGAATCATCATATACAAATAAGGGAAAAGAACTTGTCTGATCTGCTGGGTCATAATAAACAGCACCTATCTAGAATCCTTGAATATGGCATTGTAATGTCCTATGGAGCTTTGTAAATGCATCCATATCTTGCCAAAGTGGGGTTCATTTTTATAGGAATCCTTTTAGGCGCTCAGAGCTTGCTTCTTTATCTGTTGTACACAAGAAAAGCCTGGTTTCACAGATGAGTCTAAATAGCATCGGTCTATCTAGCTCACATCCTAGTTTTGTGAAATACTATCTTTATTTAATTTATTTTATTTTATTTTTTTGAGACAGGGTCTTACTCTGTCACCCAGACTGGAGTGCAGTGGTGCAATCTTGGCTCACTGCAGGCTCCACCTCCTGGTTTTAAGCAATTCTTATGCCTCAGCTTCCTGAATATCTGGGACTACAGGCGTGCACCACCACGCCTGGCTAATTTTTATATTTTTAGTGAATTCGGGGTTTGGCCATGTTGGCCAGGCTGGTTTCAAATTCCTGACCTCAAGTGATCTGCCTGCTTTGGCCTCCCAAAGTGCTGGGATTACAGGCATGGGCCACTGTGCCCAGCCCTTGTTTTGTGAAATACTATCAAACCCACTTTATGAATGTTAAGTAATTAAGTCCTTCAGGGTAGAGAGAATAGTGGTGGAAGAAAGTTATTCATTGCAAACATTTTTGCTTGGAGGCTTTTAGAAGTAAATAGGTTCTCCTCCCCAATCCCACTATATTTCAAAAGGAATCTTGTTCGAAGCCCTGTAAATGGACTTCTCCCCTCCTTTTTAAAAGTAGCTCAATTTCTTTCTTCCCAAGCTCCTCAGCTCCCAGAGCAGCTTTCATTACGGCAACATAAATAAAAAGTGACATAAAATTATACAGCCCTGTGTAAAGTAGTTTAAGGAAAATGTCTTTTATGGCAGCTTTTATGGTTTCACCAATTAGTTATTAGATTTTCTCCATTTTTAATTCGCTGTCCTGCATGTGCGTTCTGAAAGGTTTCTTCCCCCCTTTCATCTCTTAGTAGTAACAGGGCTGGGGGGCGTTGAGCCCCTGTTTAGCTGACTTTCTTGTTTCATGAAGGCTTGCATGACAGCCTGTTGCTAGATGTGGGCAGAGCAAGTCCCTTGGGAGGGAAGCCAGTGTTGAGCCATTCTGTGAAGTGAGCAGAGTTTCACCCCCCCTTCCTGTATGAACACTCAGTGTCCTGTCTCCCGCTGAGGGTAGCAGCAGGCCGGCTACAGGATCCCATCACAGCAGGTGGACCTTAAGCTGATAAATCCTGAATTTTTAGTAACTTTCCAAACATTCCTGGGGAGTGAGAATAACAGAGATTTACTCCTGCCAAAATTTAATCATGCAGAAAAAGCAAAATTTAGATCAGCATATAGATTATTTTTTAATGCAACCGCTCGACAGCGGAGAACAAGGAAGTTGAATACTCAGCGCAGCCGAGTCTAGACCGCTGCAATTTGATTCATTTAGGGGAATTGTATTAGGCTTTCGCTTTGGCTTGGGCTGGGCTGTATCTGTTTGGAAGTGCATGATGTCATCGTGTCAAGCGTGTCACAGCCAAAGCATTCTGGTATTTATGTTGACTTCAGATCTAGCCCAGAGTACATGGCAGGCTCAATTTATTGCTACTTTAACTTTGTTTAGTCATGGAGAGGCTTTATTTATGTTGGTAAATTTCAAACAGTGGCCAAAAGTAACCGCACAATGAAAAGGCCTGCCAGATTCATCATCGATAAATCACCTTGTTGCTGAGTTTCTTTAATTAAGGAAAAACTCCGTCTGTGGATCCCTGTGGTTGCTGGAAGGAAAGGAGGGTGGGGAGTACTTTGATTAATCCATCTATCAGCCTGGCTTTGGAAAGTGAGTCTCCTGTTTCTGATTGTAGCTGGGCAAAGACCTAAATAAAAATTTATCTTGTCAAAACCTATGGGCTAACTGAAAGCAAATAAAGAAGTTTTATGGCATCCACATAAAGTTAAATAAATAACGAGAAAGCGCAGTACGTCCTACGGACATTTTTCAGTACAGTACGTGGCTCTGTTCTTTGGGGAGAACTCATTAACTTAAAAAAAATTACCTTTAATGGGCCACTCGTTATCGTCATCATCAAATGCTTCGCTTATCTAACGTTCCAGTGTTTAATACCTGATTAAAACCAAAGACGGGGGCTCATGGCTTGGTGCTGTTGGAACTACCCAGGATAGAACGCACGGCAGGTGGGGCTTCTAAAGGATAAAATATGGACGTTGCAGACAACACTGCAAGTCTCAGGCGGAGCTTTTAAAATGGATCCCTCTAGAAGTTAACTGACCTTCCTGAGGATGACATAGTGTTGCAGGGGGAGGGCAACAGGGTGAAGCTTTTTGTGTCTGAATGAACAAGGGACTTCATCTCTGGTTGAACTTACCTTTCATGTGGGGGCTTCTCTCTGCTAGAAAAAGTCTAGAAAAATATGTTGGGATTAGAAGCCTCTTTTCACCAAATGCAGTTTAAGCAGACTTCTGTCTGGGTTTGGGCTCATGGTGGAGTCCATTTTATTTCTAGGTAAAAAAAAGTCCTTGAATTAGACAAAAGACAGCAGGTAGTGATGGAGAAGGCCAATTCTCATACTAGCACATACTTCAAAGTATTTGCTTTTCCTTTTTAGGTTATGGAAAGGAGGCTGTCTTGATACCAAGCTTCAGGATCCACCCACAGGAAAAGGTGATTTCTCAAGTGTCGCGTCTTGGCGCACGATGCATTAGGCAATCAGCCCCTGTCTGTTTGATGGAGTTGTACAATAAACATGAGCTTGGGGGAATCAGGAACATTTCGAGAGGCATCTCTGGTGGAATCCTGATGCTGGAGGCCTCTACTTTGGGATGTGACATTTTTGGGTTGGCTGACTAAAGCTATTCCTGGAGGTCAGCTGGTGGTTTTTCAAGTTTTTGGCTTTTTCCTGCATTCTGTCATTGTGCCTTGACTGTTTTAGTGGGGCAGGATTCCCCATGACTGCGGATGGTGGTCGTGGTGATGGTGTGAACAGTAAGACTGTCCTCTGCATCAGGTTAGGAGATGTGGGAATGAGACAGAGATGGAGGGGTAAGTTCTGACTTAATCAACCGGATCAGCTTCACTAAACCGGGTAGGTTTCAAGCATTCCCAGACACTAAGCCTACTCCTTAAATCTGTAATGCAATGTTGGTGATTTTAGCCTTCTGGAAGACCTTTCCTTATGTTAATGCGACAACAATTTGCTTAAATGTGGGACAATGTAAGGTTCTCTTGGAGTCACCTTAGTTTGCCTTTAGTGCATCAGAAAGGACACTTTGATTTATCCCAGTATGGAGGTCAGAGATTAACAACAGGACAACAAGCATATACTAAACTCTTGCCATGAATGTAGCAAGTGCAGTGCAGTGTGTAGACGCCATAGAATCCTGTCATGGCCTTTGCCCTGAAGAGGCTTCTGATTTTGAAGAGGTAGGATTTATATAACTGTTAGATTGAAAGTGAGGACTCCTGCAGATGCAGTTGTAAAATGTTGTCATCCTTTCCGTCTAAGCCTGGATTGTGGGGCTAGCTCTCCATTCCTTGGGTCGGATCTAGAGAAAGTTCCATCACTTTTCTGGCCACTCCAGGATCTTTTGTTTGCAAAAATGTTCTTAATTTAATATTATCACAGTGGTTTTCAACCCGGCCCATCAGAATTGCCCAGGCAGCTCTTAAAAAATATTGATGCCCCAGGCTACCCCCAAGACTAGTGAAATAAGAATCTTCGGTGATGAAAAAAAAAAAGAATCTTTGAGGATGAAGCCCAGACATCAGTATTATTATTATTATTATTATTTTTTGAAATGGAGTCTTGCTCTGTCACCCAGGCTGGAGTGCTGTGGCCGGATCTCAGCTCACTGCAAGCTCCGCCTCCCGGGTTTACGCCATTCTCCTGCCTCAGCCTCCCAAGTAGCTGGGACTACAGGCGCCCGCCACCTCGCCCGGCTAGTTTTTTGTATTTTTTTAGTAGGATGGCCTCGATCTCCTGACCTCGTGATCCGCCTGTCTCGGCCTCCCAAAGTGCTGGGATTACAGGCTTGAGCCACTGCGCCCGGCAGTATTTTTAAACCTTCCCAGGAATTCTAGATGGATAGCCAGGGTTGAGAACCACAGAAATGAAATATGCAATTCTAGATAAATCATGAAAAATTCCAATTTTATTTAAAATGAAAAGCTCTCCTGTTCTCTTTCTCTGGCCTACAATTCTGAGTTAGGGAGGAAGGCTTGAGAAGCCTTGACTTCTCACCTGACCTTACGAGTGTTTTCCTCCTAGCCAGCTTGCTCACTGATATTGCTGACTGCTCTGAGGTTGGGGTGGGCAGGAGAGGAGGACAGCTAATGGCTGGGAGAGTCTCATGTGACTGGCATCAGTGCCACCTGACATGGCTTCTTCTGGCTGTGGGAGAAGTTTGAAGTTGATTTGCTTTGGGGACAGAAGCAAAAATTTGTGTATTCTTCAGAGATTGCCTTTCCTCTCTGGGAGTCTCTTCTCTGCAGTTTCTTTGGTTTTCCAGTGATCTGACAACTCACACAGGGAGACTCTGCTGTGTCCCAGTGGCCCCCAGGAGGTCATCTTAGACAAAGTCCCTTAAGAGGGTGCCAGGCCAGCTCTCCCTCAGTCATGCAGGCCCTCCTCTCCTCTCTCTGCTTTCAGCCCTGGTACCCACCCTTTCCCTTTAGGCTCATTCATCCAGCATTCTGGCGCCACCCTCCGGTACCCCACAGACTTCAGGGGACCTTGAACAAGCTCGATTTTGTCTCCTGGAAGCTCATTCCACCAGGTTTAAGGTGAGGGGAAATACCACTTTGGCAGAAAACACTAGTTGTCCCCCAATTTTTTTTCCATTTGTTTTCCTACAATGATAGAGTGAGTTTCATCTGCAAACGTGGCTTTTCAGAATAAAGACAACATTTCTCAGTTTCCCTAGCAGCTAACCACCATGGCACTAAACTCTGATCAATGGCGTATTGAGTCCCATTGTCATGGTACTAAATTCTGATCAACGGCATATTGGGTATATGCAGTGTAGGCAACTTCCAGGAAATATCTCCAAAAGGAGATGGCATGGCCTTCTCCTCAACCCGCTTTTCCACTGGATGGAAGGCAGTTGGCCGAGATCTTGGTCGCAGAAGTGGGAGCAGCATGTTGAGGAGGTCGGGCAGTAGGCAGGAAGCAGCCTGGGCCCCTGATGAGTCATACACACACTGACTACTGAAATGTGCATGTGTGAGAGAAAAAAACTTCCATCTTTTAAAACCCACTGTTCATCATTGGTAAAGCCTGAGTCCTGTCCCCTCTCTCTCTCTCCCCACCGGACAGCATGAGCTTCACCACTCGCTCCACCTTCTCCACCAACTACTGGTCCCTGGCCTCTGTCCAGGCACCCAGCTAAGACGCCCGGCCAGTCAGCAGCGTGGCCAGCATCTATGCAGGTGTTGGGGGCTCTGGTTCCCAGACCTCTGTGTCTCCCTCCACCAGTTTCCGGGGTGGCATGGGGTCTGGGGCCCTGGCTGTGGGGATGACCGGGGGTCTGGCAGGATGGGAGACATCCAGAACAAGAAGGAGACCAGGCAAAGCCTGAATAACTGCCTGGCCTCCTACCTAGACAGGGTGAGGAGCCTGGAGACCAAGAATCAGAAGCTGAAGAGCAAAATCTGGGAGCACCTGGAGCAGAAGGGAGCCCAGGTCAGAGACTGGCCATGCGCCAGTCTGTGGAGAGCAACATCCATGGGCTCCGCAAGGTCATTGATGACACCAGTGTCACTCGGCTACAGCTGGAGACAGAGATCGAGGCTCTCAAGGAGGAGCTGCTCTTCATGAAGAAGAACCAAGAAGGGAAAATAAAAGGCCTACAAGCCCAGATTGCCAACTCTGGGTTGACTGTGGGGGTAGATGTCCCCAAATCTCAGGACCTTACCAAGATCATTGCAGACATCTGGGCCTGATATGGTAAGCTGGCTCAGAAGAGCCAAGAGGAGCTGGACAAGTACTGGTCTCAGCAGATTGAGGAGAGCATCACAGTAGCCACCATGCAGTCCACCAAGGTTGGAGCTGCTGAGATGACACTCACGGAGCTGCTTGGAGATCAACCTGGACTCCATGAGAAATCTGAAGGCCAGCTTGGAGAATGGCCTAAGGAGGGTGGAGGCCTGCTACGCCCTGCAGATGGAGCAGTTCAACAGGATCCTGCTGTACCTGGAGTCAGAGCTGGCACAGACCTGGGCCAGGGCAACCGTGCCACGCCTAGAAGTACGAGGCCCTGCTGAGCATCAAGGTCAAGCTGGAGGCTGTGATTGCCATCTACCACTGCCTGCTGGAAGATGGCAAGGACTTCAATCTTGGTGATGCCCTGGACAGCAGCAACTCCATGCAAACCATCCAAAAGACCACCACCTGCTGGATAGTGGATGGCAAAGTGGGGTCCGAGACCAACAACACCAAAGTTCTGAGACATTAAGTCAGCAGAACTAGGGGACCCTTTGGGGAGCAGGAGGCCAGTGAAAAGTTCAGAGGTTAAAAAAAAAAAAAAAAAAAAGCCAGGCACAGTGGCTCATGCCTGTAATCCCAGCACTTTGGGAGGCCGAGGTGGGTGGATCATGAGGTCAGGAGATTGAGACCATCCTGGCTAACACAGTGAAACCCCGTCTCTACTAAAAATACAAAAAATTAGCTGGGTGTGGCAGCATAGTGTGCCTGTAGTCCCAGCTACTTGGGAGGCTGAGGCAAGAGAATCGCTTGAACCAGGGAGGCAGAGGTTGCAGTGAGCCGGGATTGCACCACTGCATTCCAGCCTGGGCCACAGACCGAGACTCCATCTCAAAACAAACAAACAAACAAACAACCCACAAGCAAATCCACTATTGTTATGGGTTGTCTGACACAACTGAACCTAATGCTAAGTAATTCAGAATTTTGTCTTGAAATGGAGTGCTAAGCATTAGCTTGGGAAGGTGATAGGCTGCAGAAACATAGATGTTGCAGAATAGGAAGAGGGTCATCCCTGTTAGATGGTAGCAAAAATCATTGGGTAAAATTGCATCTGCTACACCTCAAAAGGCAGACCATGTGTTAGTGAAAATGGTAGAAAAAGCCTAGAATGTTGGTGGTCAGGCAGCTTTTTGCTGCTTTTAGCAAAGTCCTACAGGAGAGAGTTGAATTCAGCTGAGAGCTAGTTAGTCTACAAGCGGATGTGGAAGGAAATGTCGCTTTGCTAAGGGAGGCACTCTGGGATGCAGCCTGCACTCTAACTTGACTGAGAGTCTAGCAATTTGGAGGTGTTTGAAGTGTTAATTAAGCTGACTGTGTCTGTACCCCAACTTGAACCTGCCCCAAGAGGTGGCTGCAAAATGACAGCCTCGCTAACATGTAGCACTGTGGCCCCAAACCCTCTTCAAGCAACTTACTTTACGAGTTCTCTGCCATCATGGGAATCAGCTTAGCTGGCTGCAAAAATCAAATCTTACCAAACCTTTTGTTTCAGTAGCTACTATGTTAAGAGAGAGAGACAGGTGTGGCCAAACACTGGCCAGTAAGTAAAAAGCCTGAGACTTTAGGCTTAAAAGCTGTGTCTAGATGACATTGTTGTCTGTGGTTTTTCACACATGGAAACAGATAAACTGGAAGCCTACTAAAATTTTGAGAGAATCATATTGGAAACAAAAAAACCTGT